TGAGTTCCGGGAATAAAAAATTTTTTATCTCCAGGTCTTACGGTTTAGGAGTTTTCCAGAGACCAAGGTCCAAAGAGAATCCGGAAGTTTTTCCCCAGACTTTTTAATATACTTCAAGCTGGAGAGTCCGGGTTTCTTTTATTTTAAACTAGACACCCAACTATATGGGGTGACCGGCGCCGGTTTTCCAGTGAAGCCTTTGTTGGTTTTCCAAACAACCAACAACCTCCAAAACCCGAAAATTCCTTCCGAATTTCCTAAAAATTCTCAGTTTGACAAAAAGCTAAGACCTACTTCAAAAATCGGCGTCGGTCAGTCCATGTAGTTTCTTTTGCTCTTGTAAGCAAAAAAAGAATAAACTGTCTGCGACAAAACCCCTATTAAAAATCTTGCGAAGAAATACTTCAGGTATAACTCTTATATAGAGAAAGCGCTGTATGAAACACTTAATTTTAGAACTTGTAGGAAATTGCCTGTAACGTTTTAATGCAAGGTCATACAGAGTTGTGCGAGGTCTTATTTTCATCAGAAATGTTTGCTCTACAAATCTGTGTGTTCAGAAAAATCTTAATTGCTTAAGTACCCAGAGAAAAGCTGTTATTTGAAAGACCCGGTTTTTCGAGGCTCCTAAAAAACTCGCTCGAAATCCGCGAAAAACCACTTTTGCAACCAAGAGTGACATAGATTTTGAAAGCAAACACTTCAGGCTATCTTTCCATGTGAAGGAGCCTTAAATCTCTTCCCTGTCCTACCTTCACATATCGAAATTGGAAAAAATGGGAATGAACTATGGAGTGAAGGTAATATTTGTGCCAAAATCTCATTGTGAGTTGAATCCAGTTGAAGAATATTGATGTCAGCTAAAGGCCTTTGTGCGTAAGCACAAAGACCAAACTTTTCATCGAATGATAGCTTTGACAGGATCAGAGCAAAATTTTAAAGAAAATTTTTTTTCTAAAGCTGTTTCGTTGGTACTGGCGATCTCTTCGAGTCTACAGTAATGGAGAGGATTACAAACAATACCGACTATATTCTTTAGTTCACTTTATAAAGACAGTATAATTTCTCAATGAAAAACAACGAACAGTTGAATTGATCATTAGTAGTTATGTTTTGTTAGACCATCTTCTATTTTTTACTGATGATACTTTTATTCTTTTTATTAAAATTGTTACGTTGTGGTTTAGGTCGGATGGACAAATGAGCTGCAAAGACCGTGTCCTGCAGCACGACTAACAAGGAACTAAGTGCCAGTAACTCACAGTGGGCATTTTCTGCTAGGGCAGACGGAAATTAGCACTTTATTGGCGTTTTTAAATCTAAAAACAGTTTTCCATAGATAATTGATGATTCTGAATCTAACGGTGCAATCAGAATTCGTCTAGCTAGTTTTGGTTTTCTGAGATTTTCCCAAAACGCTAACTTTCTCTTGTTTATCGCGTCAGAAAACATAATATTGAACAAAGATAGGTTTTTCACTATGCCGAAACTGGCGAAAGGGTGAGATTGTTCCAATCGAACAGGGATTTTCCGAGGTTTTCCGAAAAGTGTAGTTTTCTCAAATTTTTAGCAGACAAAAAACAGTTTAAAGGTTTTTAGCTTGTCAAATAAGCTGAATTCAATGTCGTTGCAATTATGTTGAGCTTACCTATCAAAAAGAGTGTTTTTAAACGTGTTTTCCAAAAGCCTGTTTGATCATTTGCCTTGTCGCTCTCTCTAAACTGAACCTACACATGGGGTCTTTGAAAAATAGGGCTGTTTAATAAATAGGAAAAGGAGAGAACAAAGAAATCGAATCCATTTTCGGTAGAGAGAGAGAGAGAAAACAACAAAAACTGTTTTTTATTATCTCACATGATTCTATTTCCAGAAAGTTCTTATAGAGAGAAAAATAGAGCAGCAGAGCAAACTTTTAGTCACGTTTTATGAAAATGTGAGAAAATAAAGAATAGAACAGTGTGTGTGAAGAGGCAGAAATAAATAATTACCTAGGTTTTCTCTTTTCTTGGCAAAAATTATGTGACAACCTTTGAAAACCTTGGCTATACAAGTTCAAAACTTTTTCCTACACTTAAATAAATATTATATACATCACTCAATGCAGTTTTTCACGCTGATTCTTAATTTGTATATTTTATATAGAAAAACATGATCTTAGGATGCAGAAAGCTTGTTTTATCCTCAAAAACCGAGAGGTTTTGAAAAATCTGTCTAGGCTCCAGTTAAAGTTAGGTGACTAAAGGTTAATACCATAAATGCATGAGATTACGGAGCTCATTTTAGTAAAAGATGAAGGCACTATGAGCTGGGAAAACTTCGGAAAACTCTCTGTACTAAGCAAATCTTTTGAGAAAAGCGCTTTTTTCAGAAAAACGTTTAAAGCTCGAATGCGGAAAGAAATTTTTTTTATAGTAGTAGATAGCCCAAGTTGTGCTGATCCCGAATATGTCCTTAGATTGAGATTAAAACTAAAGCTACGCTGAAAAAATTGACTGTTTTCAAATAGTTAGCAAATTATAGAGAGAATTTTTCATCTAACTTTTTTCCACGAAGAAACGACTTCAGACAAAAATTTCTTTTGCCATTAGATACCCCATTAGTTGAAGTATATACGACGATCTTCAAATCAAGTAAAAGTAAACTTCGCCTTTTTGACCAAATTTCCGCCTGGATACCCACTGTGTGACTGGTATAAGTGCTCACTGGACACATAAAACTCACTAACCCACCCACTGTATATGTACATAGAACAGTATACAAAACAGTACATCACACAAAGCAACGAAGAGATGATAAGGAATCTACAAAACCGTTAAACGAAACGGGTATTTTAACGGTAAATTCAGAACGGAAAAAAGGAAGGCCTCAATCATAACAAAGAAAGAAAAAGAGAAAATAGTAAACATAACTATATATGTACATGCGTATACTGAAGAATGAATAATATAGATAACCCAGATGTGAAGAAAAGGACTAAAAGAGTGAAACACTGCAAAAAGCCTCCCAGGCATAAAAAGTTTTTTCTTTCATGTAGCGGAAACTGGAAATGACGAAGAATAAAATAAAGAACAGGCATTCAGTCAACGCTTGCAGCCATGGAGGACAAAATATCCTGTATCCAAGCGAAACGTTTTCTAGAAAACCTCTAGAAAACTCTTGTAAGACTTTGTCGATATGCTCGCTGGATTCTGCATGAAATTCTATGTATTCCATGTGAATTTTAGCTGTTTTGGATAAAAACTGAAAATTTTATAAAAATATGACTTGGCCGTTTTAGCCCCACTTCTAAAAAACATGACATTTCTCGACAATGAAAAACATTCTCGAAAAAAGCTTCTCGTACTTTTGTTGTCAATTGGATGGCAATTCAAATGGCATAAGAACCGAGACTTTAGCTTTTAAAACTACTGGCATTAAGGCATGTTTTCGGCCCCAAAACTACGATCTAAGACACACATATTCGGAATCAGTGTTAAATTCTGAGTGGGATAGCGTTTAAGAATCGTTCAAAGTCTCAAAAAAAATTTTCGAAGAATATTGCCCTTGAGGTAGTAGGGCAAAGTCGAAAAATATTTTTTTTAAATCCGACCGAAATAATGCCTAGTCCTACACAATAGTCCATGCTGATCACGAATATCACAATTAGAACGTCGAAAAATGCTTCACTATCAAATGACAACGAAAACAAAAAACAACCTTGGACCCCATTTTTCTCGGTTTTGCTCTCTCAGTTGATAGGGATAGGGCCCATGATAGACTGAGTAACTCTAATTATACGTAATTCACTGTGCTCTATCTGATTTCGAAAGAGTTAGGTCGATCGGACGTCATCTCAATTCACTAAACGCAGATCACCTCTCCGATTGTCCTCGGTTAATTATTCTTGAGTTTGTTGATGACCAAAGGTATACTTAGAGGCCGTGAACAAAAAAGATTTTTCTACTGAAAATTAAGTGATACTCTTTCTAATGGTATATTTCTTTAACCGAATTTTCGTATAGAAAGTTCCCGTCCAATCACATCAGTATGTAGTATCTCTCTTTAGGGTTTGTTGCTAAAAAGATCGTTATTGCTACAAGTTTTCTATGAGAGAAATACTTGTTTTGAAGAGAAGAAGATTAAGTCTTTGCCTCCCTTAGTCATACCATGTACAAAACTTAGTACATGGTCGATTTAGAGTCGGATTCTATATCATATGTCCAAAGCAAAAATTCATAATCAACTAATTTTGCAACAAATTTTCCAAACCTATTTAGCTTTTCTGTTAACGGACGGAGCCGTGATTTACACCGCATTCGATTCGTCTTTACAAGGACAACAAAAGTACACAGACGTTTTCTTAAAATTCCTTTCCGCTGCTGACAAAATTCATTTTTTCTGAATAAGACGCGAAAAATTTGCAATTGTGCCCGTAGTTCTCGGTTTTCTTTATCAGAACTCAAGTTTTATGCACACAAAAGTATGATATTCCGAATCAGAATCAACAGCTAGGCTGTGGAAATTTAAAAATCGCAAAACTATGGCACAGCAACGGAGAACCACCGATTTTTAAATTTCCACAGCCTATACGATAACCGCGATCAAGTTCTACATCACATGTTTAGACTCAGTTTGAGTTGAGGAATCCGAAAATCACATTAGTAAGATCGGGCAGTAAAACTGAGAATATTAGAGCGATTTTCTCAAAAGTCAGTGTTCGGCGTTTTCGAGGAGTTCGCAGTATTTTGCACTTTTCTCTGGGAAAACTTGTTCAAATCGGAAAAATAAGGTCTAATTTGTGATCACCGGATAAAACTACATCTAATGATGTGCCTTTAAGCCCAAAATAAAAAGTACTGAAACTTCGGATTACTGGCAGCTTACAAAAAATGTAAAACGAAAAAATCAGTACTTTTCATGTCACTCCCCAACTCTGTTTTCTGATAAAGACTGCTTATGTTTTGATCGGCATCAAGGAAGTGCTTTTGCGTTCGTACAGTAAACAGAACACTCATATTTTCTCACCTATATCTTATTTCAGGATTATCGGGATACATTTGACGACAATAATCTCGCTCATCTGTTGCACCCAAACAATCTATAACACCGTCATTTGTGTTATTAACAGAAATACAACCTAAAGTATATTCATTTGGGCGAGCACAATAATGTTCATTTTCACTGTTACACGAATATTTTGGCATAAATTCTGTTTTTGGACAATTTAATTCATCTTCACCACGTTTACAATTCCATACCTGATTACATCTGGTGTACTGTGTAATACAAGGCCAAGCGTCACAGTCCGTTTCATCATCTCCATCAGCCGTAATATTAGAAGAATATTGTATGTCTTTTACGCCATTACAAATTTGAGAAAAGATAAGTACAACTTTATCATCATTCGATTTAATAGTACCACGTAAATACTGACATTCGCGTGAGAATGGAAATTCATTTATTGCACAATTGATTTGAGCTGGTTCATCTGAACCATCTAAACAATCTCGAAAACTGTCTTTTACAGTTATTTGTGATAGACATTGTTGTGTAATTGATGTATCAATACACTGGAACCGGTGTGACATATTCAGTGAACATGTTTCTGAATACTTTTCATCTGATGAATTTATACAATCATGAAGTGTATCTTGAAGACGATGAATTGAAATATATTTTGATGATCCATTACAGTTGAACAACAATGATGACGATAAATCAGGAAAATTAAATTGTGAACAGAATCTAAATTGAAGTCTAATATCTTTAAGTAAATCAGGCCAATTTGAATGTATATTTTGTATCCATTGAAATTCATTATATTTACGACAATCGTATTGATCAATTTTAATTGTTGGAGAAAATGCGGTACACCGTTCAGCATCATAACATATATGTGTTGGTGATACACTGATTGACCAATCTGTTTTAGTTGTGGTTGAATAATATAGACGCACAAAATTGGAAAATACGGGTTGTGATGGAAATTGAAATGATGTTGGGCAATAGAGATCAATTAATTCGTTACACTGATGTGTTATACATATATTAAAACAATTTATTAAATATAACTCGTTTATTTTAAAAGCACATATTAAATATGTCCAACATGTATAACTCATTTTCGATGGTAAATAATACTGAAGCGTATTTCTTGAATAAAGAACATCACGACCGGTTGCACATTTCATGTCGTCATATCCAGGATAACTTACACGTTGACAAGTTCCAGTTTCACCACATGAAAATAGCAATGAACTACATACATGTTCTTCACAACGTATCTCAAAATAATAAAGGCAGCGATCTTCTGCATTGTGAAAATAATACAGAATTTCATCACTACCATCCATGCAATCTTGTATATGATTGTAAAAGAATCTTTCGGGAATGCATTGCATACCATTAGCACATGGGCCGATTCATCAAGGACGTTTTGTACTATCATCGATATCTGACTCACCTTTCGAATCGTCAGATATTGTTTATACAACTTCTCCATATATTCTATATAAACTGAGAAGTGTAATAGCTGGTTAGTATAAAGGAGTTTATTCCAATTCTCTCACTCCTTGTCTCGGGGAGGAAAGATGACGTAGCTCAGTTGAGGCTCAGATCCAAGACCCTTATCAATTCTTAATAATAGTCACCTAGTCATAGCAGTCACATTACTCGTTTCTCGCAGAAAAAACAGTAATAGCCTTATAGCCTAGTGCACATTGACTTTATTCTTGCGTTTTTTGGGAATTCAATGAATAAACATTATTAATGGTTACTCCATGTGACAAAGACACAAAATTGATAAGACCAAAGAAATCATGGATCGTTTACTATAGCCAAAATTTGAAGTCTTTTACTAGATTCTACATGTTATTATGCATGGAATAGTCATCTGACGAAAAGTGTGGCTACTACTATTCCAAAGAGCAAACAAGACTGAATAACGCTTTTCAGAATACTTTAGAAGTTAAAAAATTGAAATTAATGAGTTTTTTACATTTTAAAAAACTGAAATTTCCGTTTCAGCTTTTAATAAAAAACTTTGGAAGCATACCACTATAAAATAAAACCAGACGCATTTTGTGCAGCTATCAAGTCTTTATATGATAAAAATAAATAAATTGAGAAAAATGTTGCAGCAGATAAGTTCGATTTCTAGTATTAACTGTTAGTAGAAATTATTCGGGAAAAATCAAATTTTTGAAAAATACTTTTCTGTTCGTACAATACGTCATTGAATCCATCGCAGCGCTAGATCAAAACTGATTCCGTTTTTCTTTTATCTTTTTTGTTCATTTCATTCTCTTTTCCATTTCTTAAAAAGCAACATCGAATGAACTTCTTGTCGATTTGTTGTCTTTGTTAAATGAAACTGTTTCCAGCCCTCCATTTTGCATAAAAACAATGTTTCTCGAATAATTTGCCTTCGAATGAGATACGCGTGCATTAACAAATGGATTGGATCATGATCCATGACAATTTATTATCTAAACGAGTTCTATACTCCTTAGATCACAGGTAAAGTTACACAAGCTTTTTCGAACGTTACGTTGTTTTAACAACATAACATGAAGACAACATAACATCCAGGAAGATTTAAAACCCTTCCTGGATGATTAAAACAATAAAAAACATCTACTTTTACTCCGCACACGCGTCGTTGGGCGATCAGACCAAAATAGTGGATGTCCTATATGGCAGATCCCTACCGATATTCTCCGTTTTTACATTCATTTATTTCAAGCTGATAACAATCTTTCTCGTCTTCGTTGTTTATACAATCTTGCTCACCTATAGTGTATAATAAAAATTATGAGCAATCTACTACACATATAGATATAGCTATTATACTTGCCATCACATATGTCTCTCCATTCAAGGCCTAATGATGATTGAATTGTACGATCACATTGTAAACCTCAACAAGATATACAAAAGAACCTTGCCGTTTTTTCGTATAGTATCAGCTTCTTTCAAACAGGAACGAAATACATACAGTTGGATAGAGGAAGCGAAGACACATCGATTGGTGTTTTGGGTTTTTTGATCGCACCATTAAGAGAGGAAAAGTAGAGTTCGGAGTACAGGCGTTCTGCAGGAAAACAAGTGTTTGTCATCTTAAAACTAATTTATCTCATGTTTTAAAAATAACCCATCTCCAGTTTTGAGCTAAAAATCGCATCTTTGAATAAGATTCAGATTTAGACAATAAAAATCGCATATTGTTTTTATCCTAACTGGTGAAAAAAATTGCTTTTCAAAAATATGAAATTTTTGTGCATCCATAAAAAATGTAAAATTCAATTTTTTTCACTCATTTTCTGCTTCTAATGAAAACTAATACCATATTTGTAATCTACGAATAAAACCGCATCGAACAGGCTATTTTAGAAGTGTTCACTACCTTACATCTAATACCTATAGTAAACCGCGAAGTTGAGACATCTTTTTGCAACCCAAGTGCATATTTGGGTATAAATGCGCTAAAAAAACAGGAATGGCTCTTGTTTTGTAGAGTTTTTTCTCCACTACAAAGTCTTATATTTAGATAATTCTTATTCAAAACAGGAAGCTGTTTCTTTCATCATAAGTAAGCACCTTAGCCAAAACCAACGAAACACACTCGTATTTGGCAGTTTTCACCGTCAAACTTGCATTTTTTTTGTAAAATGAATATCATATTTGAAATCACCATCAAAAACTGAATTGACTGATGTGTGTAACTCTCCTAGCGGAAAGCTGATTGCGTTACCTTTTTCAGAGAACTTCTAAACGTTATAACTTTTTGAGCAAAAGTCGTGGAGAGTTGTGCAACTTCTCATTAAAAAGAAGATTCGAAGACAAAAGCTTTTCAGAGTTTGCTTGAATCGCGTTTGAAGAACTTCATATTTTTGAAAAGCAATTTTTTTCACCAGTTAGGATAAAAACAATATGCGATTTTTATTGTCTAAATCTGAATCTTATTCAAAGATGCGATTTTTAGCTCAAAACTGGAGATGGGTTATTTTTAAAACATGAGATAAATTAGTTTTAAGATGACAAACACTTGTTTTCCTGCAGAACGCCTGTACTCCGAACTCTACTTTTCCTCTCTTAATGGTGCGATCAAAAAACCCAAAACACCAATCGATGTGTCTTCGCTTCCTCTATCCAGCTGTATGTATTTCGTTCCTGTTTGAAAGAAGCTGATACTATACGAAAAAACGGCAAGGTCCTTTATTCTTCAGTCCATTTGACAACTCTGTTATGACCCGATGCTTCTTTAAGTTTTATTTTTACGAATATCTTATTCACAGACAAACATATTTTAAAGAAAAAGAAGTTTTAGGGGACGGTTGGGATAATTGCTTATTGACTCATCTATTCAGAAGACATAGTAAAAGCACTGGTACGGTCAAAGAAATGAACGTTACATGCTTTAAACTTTATGATAATTGAAAATCGTTTTTGATTACCTGTATAGGAAGTTCCGTTGGTTACCTCAAGAATTCTTAAAACACGCTGTTTCCCAAGTTCTGGTGATAATTTCATTTCATAAATGAAATTAACTATATCACTAAACGATGAAAATGATTTAAATCGTGAATCAAATGTGTATTCACATAATTTGCCGAACCATAGTTGTGTACAATTATGATATATTTGAAGACTTGCTGGATTCGATGACGATGATGATTCAGCAAGATAAATCTCATACTTTTC